TTTGGTGTTATCCTTTCATGGAAGATAAAGCTTGTTCCTGTTCCACCGAAAGTCACCGTCTTCAATGTGGCGAGAACCCTAAAGCAAGGAGCTACTGATGTAGTGTACAAATGGCAACAAGTTGCTCCAAAACTTGATAAAGATCTCTTCATTAGGATTATGCCACAAGTTGTGAATGGTGATAATGGACAGAAGACAGTTAACATTGCTTTCATCGGCCATTTTCTTGGGCAAACCGATCGACTTCTTGAATTGCTGAACAGAGATTTTCCAGAATTGGGTTTACAACGAAATGATTGCATCGAAATGAAGTGGATTGAATCCACTCTTTTTTGGTTTGGATTCCCTAACGGGACCTCTATCGATGTTTTACTTCAACGAGTAGTAAAGAACAAATCCTTGTCGAAGAATAAGTCTGATTATGTAAGGAAGGTGATCTCGAAGGAAGATTTGGAAACCATATGGAAGTTAATGACAGAAATAGAAGGGTTTCGGATGCAATTTAATCCTTATGGAGGAAGAATGGAGGAGATTCAAGAATCCGAAACACCTTTCCCACACCGAGCAGGAGTCATCTTCAAGATTCAACATTCGGTTTCATGGACACAAGAAGGAAACCAGGCAACACCCAAGTACTTAAGTCTTATAAGAAACTTTTACAATTCAATTGCTCCTTATGTGACAAGCCAACCCAGAGAATCTTTTCTAAACTACAGAGATCTTGACATTGGTGGTGGCTCAAGCAATGGCGCAACCAGCTTTGATGATGCTGCAGTTTATGGGTTCAAATACTTCAAGGGTAATTTCAAGAGATTGGCTTTGGTGAAGGCTATGGTGGATCCTGATAATTTCTTCAAGAATGAACAAAGTGTTCCACCTCTCAAGTGAAGAGCCTTTACGAGTTATTATTCTATACAACTCGCGCTATTATGTTATAACTTAGCGTCAAAAAATTATACATATAATTTGCTCATTTCAAATATAAATTTTATAACTCATTTGTACTCTTGGGAGTATTTAATAATTTTTCTTTTTTTTTCTTTTAACAATAAATATATATATTATTAGATATAATCTACTATGTGAATCAGATTAATACGTAGATTATATATTATTAAAAAAATATGAATTTTACTAAAAAATAGAATTGTGTTATATATTTTATGCAATTTTTAAATATTACATCGATAATTAATTTTTAAATATTAATTTTACTAAAAAAAATTATATATACATTTGTGGGAGTGAAAAATGAACAAACAATCACGACAAAAATATAGAAAAACACGTATATTAAAAATTTAAGAATTAACTTAATAGTGTCAGAGGAGTAAAAACATCAAATATTTTACATTATTCAATCTATATCATATGAGAAAACTCATTAAAATACATTAATGAATTAAAACATATTAAACTTTAAATTATATATATATATTTATATATTAATCATATGTGGATCATTTGGCTTTGTCTCATAAAGTACTTCCTATAGATTTTCTAAAATTAATTAAGGATCGTATATAGACGAAAAGATTATATTTTCAAAGGTAACATAGGGATCCATTCTAAGTCAATCAAAGTCACGAAGGGAGAACGATGCTTTGTCCGATGCCCCTCTTGCGTAACTTCAGAATTTAGTGAAATAACTCCTCTAACTAGTGAAATAAACGCTTATTAGAAACTGGCTAACTCAAGGAGTCCTTAATGGAGGACTTGGATTCAAATCTTTCATGAAGAACTCTCTTCCATATACCTATATAAATACTCAAATGGGCTATGCAACATACACAACAGATAGGATTAATCTAATGATTATTCATCTTATTAAATAACTTAGTTTATGATTATACAGATTGAGGTAGGTGAACTTGTTGTTAATTATATAAATTTGAAACTTAATATTAGCCAAACGAAATTATGTAAGTACATGATTAAAGTCATATAGTACTGCATGTAACCCAACATATATCGAAATTAAATTAACAAATTTTTGGATCATTGTACAATTAAATCTAATGTAAGATTAATTCCAACAAGTATGTCAATAAATGACTAATTTATTTTCTGCATATAGAGAAAAAGTATAAAATCATACATAGACATATTTATAATCATATATAAATGATAAACATTCAGAATTATAAGTAAATTACTCAAAGTTTATGACCAATCTTAGCCAACCACTAAGGACCTTGGTCACTATCTCTTTTATAAACTGACTTAATTATGTGGTAACTTTGGGATGCTTTGTTCCTGTCTAAAG